GAGGCCACCCCCGGGGCACCCGCGGGACACACCCGGGCCACTACCGGGACACCCCTGGGACACTCCCGGGGCACCCCCGGGGAACCACCGGGAGACCCCCGAGGCTCCCCGGGGGGCGCCCCGGGACACACCCAAGGTGTTTTGTAATCTCACGTCATTATGAAATGTTATAAGTAATGATTTATATAAGAGGAAATGATAAAAATAGCTTTTAGAGTGCATAAATTTAGATTTTTAGTTCTTATTTTTTATTAATATGTTTTTAATTAAATAATTATATTAGTCAAAAGGTATTAATAAAAAATAAAGAGTCTCCAAACTATTAATATCATACCTAATGATTTAGTAAGCGGTATTAGACCAAAAACAAATTATCAAATAAATGTGTGAGTCATAACATAATTTATCTTTTCAGATAAGTAAGAACATATAAATACAACGACACTCTTAATTGACAAATAAAATATGTGTTCATCAAAAGCTCAAAGTATAAACATATGATGAATCTAAAACCATATACACTATTTACTTCCTCTTTTGATGTTCCTTTCTAAATCATTTGGTATTCCAAATGAATCCATTTTAACCGCCAACTTAAATACATATCAAAGAAATGAATCTAAAAAGACTAGTTTGTGATACCACCGATCAACCTCTGCATCAAACACAGGGACTTGCAGACTCTGGAATCAAATAATATAACCAACCAATTAGCTTAGTACGACCACATGTCTCCTTTGCTGACTTTCTAAGTATAAACCGAAAGTATTAAATATTCCTGCATGTATTAGCTCACCATTTATATTACCAAAATTGCTTGCTTTTATAAACGCAATTTAAACACAAAATGAGTTGCATTTTGTATTTTCATACCTACCTTTTACATAGGCTACATCTACTTACAAACTTTTTTTAGATATATCTTATATCAACAAGGTTTTTTTTAATAAGTTAGCAATATAAAAGATTCTCTTCCTTTTATATTATTTTTTTCAATTCAATGTCATATTTGGTACTAAATTTGACACAAAATATAACAATTGTCAAAATTTAAAATTTAAAATAGTATTGTATTGAGCAATAGTATTTTTTTAATGTTAAAATTTAGCATTAGAATACTAATTTGATATTGAATGCTCTAATAAACAATAATAAACGACAAATCACACTAAAATTATATTCCCATTTCCGACTTATTTTTCTTCTTGGTCTCTCTTTCTCGTATATAAAAAATTGCATAAATCCAAATGTACGTCAACCAAACATTACAAGTAGCTAGTAATAGGATACGCACATACATAACACATAATAAAAGGAAATACAACAATAACATAGCTATGTGTTTGAAATGGTTCATCTTGTCATGGGTGGTGCCACAATTGGCGCAGCGGTAACTCCACGTTGTTGTCTTCCCAAGTTGGCCTCCCAACCTTCATTACCAAAAACGAACCAAATTAGAAGTTAACCAAAAAAAAAAAAAAATGCTTAGGAGCACTACTGAAGGTGGGTCTTATTTGTAGACTTCGTACTCCAAGACCCATTTTTTATTGATGGTGATGTTAAGCACTGTCCCTGCTCTATAACATTAGTCGTTAATAGATGATAAATACAGTAGGGAAAACTTATATTAATGCTGAAATTGGAAAGAAAGAAAAAAATTGTATCCAGTTGCCAACAACAACTTGGTATAAGATTATGGGCGTCGACCAAAACCAAAAACAAAATAAATAAACAATAAAATAACCTCTGATAATGAAAGATGAATTTTCTTTTGGTTCAGCTTGTCGTTATTAATAATTAATCCATTGACGATTAGCTGATGATTAACATCCCAATTGCAGTGTTAATAAGCCCCTTGTTTTGTATTTTACTTCTGGAGTTTGTTTGCTTAGTACTTAGAATATACATAAAATAAAGTTGAACAAGAAAGATATAGAAAGCTCTGATCAGGGCAAAATATTTTCTTTAGTGAAAAATATTTGATGAAGGCAACTTATCTTCTCATGGCTGAAAAATAATGTAGGCTCGTGGCCCCATTCATTTCACCGATTCGAGTTTAAAATTCGAGTTTTACAGTAAAAAACTCTCACTTAGCCTAAAATTTGAGTAATTCGCTTCCTGGGACACCAACTCTTTTGTTTTCAATTTTAATACTAATTGACGTAGTATATATATGTTATTGGTCGGTGTTTAAACGATTATTGCTTGATCAAATAAGATATTGCATCTATTAATAAAAATGACAAATAATTACCATAGGTAAAAAACAAATTGGGACAAAAGTTGGTATCCTTCTATATTAGATTAAGTTTCTAAATGAATAAAATCATTTTGGTACACTTTGTTATAGCAGAACATCTTGTTGATATCTTGAGTTTTTAATAATATTAAAACTGTACATTCACTTTTAAAAAAAAACATTTTTTTAATATTTTGAGATTGATTTTTAAGACATAAAATATTGAAACTATCCTTTTTATTAATTAAATAGTAACTAATAGCTTTAAAAATATTTTTGAAAACATTTTAATTTATTCTAATTGTTTAATTTTAAATATTTTAAAGTATTTTCATTTTTTTTTTAAAATACTAGTTTGTTGTGAATTAGTGAGAATGGTAGAATGGATATTTTATGTCCTAAAAATTGGTCTTAGAATACTAAAAGAACATTTCTTTAAAAGTGATGTACTATTTTAATATTAGTAAAAACATATCGTACCAACGAGATGTTCTACTATGAAAGAGGGTATTAAAATAATTTTGTTCCTTTCCTAAATGTCCTTAAACTTTGTACCTTGATTCATTCAATATGCTCTACAAATTTTAAAAAGTGTACATTTCACCCTCGAAAGTATGAAAAGTGGTTGAAAACACCTCTTAAATTAATGTCGTTTCATAAATGGCCCCTAAACTATTGATTCCGTGCCAATTTAGCCCCTGATCTTTTGAAGAGGGGAGGGGGAGTAAGTTGACACGAAAGTAATAATTTAAGGGACAAATTGACTTAAAATCAATAGTCTTGGGGTTTTTAAAAGTATAAGTAGTGATAATTCATCATTTAGTTAATTTTATTATAAATATATGCATCATTTTGAACTAGGGTACATAACTAAGGGAGTGAAACAAACCCTTTTTAAAATTCAAGATGTGTTGAAACATGGTACAAAGTTTAGGGACCATTATGAAATTAATCATTTTATAATTAATATTGCTTAGTCAAGAAATTAAACAATTTCCACCAGAAAATCAAGAAATTAAACAAGAAATGTATTAGTGTATTGATCATGATAGATATAGAAACATAAGTACCTATACCGAGATCAAAACCGCGCTCCTTGAGCTCTCTGTACTCTTGACAAAGCGCACAAGTCTCGCAGCAGAAGTGGACAAGGCAATCCACGCAAGGTGATTCTTCCAAATCATATTGACCTCTCAGTTTTGATCTATAACTGCACGAGTACAAGCATGCTAGACCAGTGCAGCCAAGAAGCAGCCCATAAGTCGCCCCTCTTGAACCGCAACCTGATCAAAACATGATTACATATTTATAATATTGTAAACCAAAAACCAGAACTAATTAAATCATAATTATCTAAAATAATACTAAAAAAGAAAATACATATAGATATATATAATAAGTTTAATATTTCCACACTTACTTGAGGACCCTTTGTCCACAATCTCAGCAATTTGTCCGAATGTGATGCAGGGGCAAAAGCAAGTGACCATACCTTACATGAAAACACACACACACACAACAAACGTACAACAATTACACGATCATATGTAATGCATATTTCTGAACGTTAAATTATATTCTACATCATAAACAAATTAAATTTAAGAATATTGCTGAAATATAGCTAGTAGGGTACTTTTTTGTGTATCGTATTGCATAGTTCTCGAATAATTTGTGAAAAGCGTAGATGAGTTTCGGGTTAAGAAGTACGTACAATTTGCAGGATCGTCACAACAATGGCAGAGACCAGTGGACCACCTCCCCGCTGCAGCAGCTGCAGGAACCTGAAGGCGCGGTATGTATGGAGCATGATAAGGTTGTGCCATACTTGGATTTGGGATTATTCCAGGGCTTGGACGCCCATCTGCTGCATGTTTCTCTTGGGGATATTGATCATCAGGTGCTGAGGGATACATGATATATATTTGCAATAAATATTATGCTGATTAATGAAAAATAAAACTTTGCATATATAACATCAAATTATCAATAAGTATATTATAAGCTAGCTGGTTTGGATATATACATAGTTGGTTAGTTGATTAATATAATATAGAACTCTCATTTGGTGGAAACTGCAGTATTGGTCAAAGCTTTTATTTTAAGAGTCTGATAAATTAACAATAAAATATTGGCTATCTTGTAGATAAAGTTTCTTGGTTATATATATGATTTTATAAACGAATGTAGCTTCCAACCAATGTCCTGGTTGACTATACGCAGTATAATATTGCAAGTTCTATATAACCTTCTTTTCTTCTGATTATTTTGTAGTTTGAAAATTAAGTAGACATACACGTAATGGTTGAGCTTCAGTACTTTAAGGCAAGTGGCTAGCGCTCTAAGGCAAGAAAAAGGTCACTGTTGTTAACTTTGATTTATGTAAGTTTAATTTGCATCTCATCATAAATGCATTTTCAAAATATGAACATTATAAATATATATGTATACGTATAGCCAATGAGTGATATCGATTTTCTATATATATTTGTTGGGCTAGGGGCTCTACCAAGAGATTGGGGTTTTAACTCAAAAGGTTAATCTAATGAGTGGAATAGCCCACTCTTTTATAAACTCATCATAGCTCTCATTTATTGTCAATGTGAGACTTTGTTCGCATCTCTAATAATCCCCTTTTGAACGAATCACCACGGCCCCTTTTGAACAATAACCCTTTCGTCCATAAGATCCTCCATCGCACCTCAATTACGTTACATGGAGATCCCACTACCTTGTACTCTCCATCGCATATCTCCAGTTTCATGGTCTGCACAACAACCTCGAGATCTCCACCGCGTCCAAAAAATTAACATATTAGGTCTTGAGTCCTTCCATGCATATAAACCATTCCATATCTTCATCCATTTTCCATATGGGACAACACACATGCACTTTTCTCAACAATCTCTCTCTTATGTGTGTGTTCACTGAGCTTCTCCTCGAACTAAAGTTTTTAGTAGCATGCACATCCAAACATTACACTCCAAACAGAAGCCAACTCAAGCATAGGAAAGAGAGCCGAAACCATGCGAGTACACTAAATGCTCCACTATCCGCACGTGCAACTGCAACCGAGTGTGATCGCTTGACCATGTACGAACCATCAGCTCTAATACCACATGTTGGGGAGACTCAACATGCATGTAAAATTGGTCAAACACACTTCAGGAGCTCAACTTGAGTCAAAAGGTTAACTTATTAGGTCTTGGGTCTTTCCATGCATGAAAATCGTTACACATCTTTATCCATTTTTCATGTGTGACAACACAAACATACACTTTTCTCAACAATATTCATCTGCATGACATGAAAATGATTAAAAAAATAGTTAATGAAGATTAAATTGATAATATATACTTTAGCAAAAAAAAAAAAAAATGTAAGAACTAAGTAGTATCTTGGTCGTTGCTAACTCCCTTTCACATCCTAAGTCAAACTTTTCCGCACAAGAAGTTTGTTCTAAAGAGATTTGCATTTGATTTGAAGACTAACAATAATAAAGTGGTCCAATTAAAGTAGTTAACTGCTTAATACTATGTACTGGATAGACATGCGCGCTTTGTGAAAAATGATCCGGAGGTGGTCTCTATTTAATTTTAATAGTTATATATGTTAGGAATGGACAAAACTAATAACAATTATAAATTAAAATCTAAAGTGGTATACATACATACATATATAGACCTCGTTCACTTCGCGAATTCGAGTTTTCAATTCGAGCTGAGATGTGATATTTTTTTAGAACTTTTTACTATAACAAAAAAAATAAGATGTAATATTTTCTGAAAACTTTTTACTGTAGAAACCTAAAACTAAAAACTCGAATCGAATCGGTGAAATGATAAATGTCATAATATGTAATAGAACTTGCGGCCGTACGTGCAGAAGTTATTATTAATTTGTTAGTAATAAGCTAAACACTGGAGAGCCTATAACCTATGATAATTTGTTGATTCATGGTGTGTATATATATCAGAAATGTCTTCCATTTGGCAGGTACTATTTATCTGATTCATCCGATGAAAGACTTTCAACCCTGAATTATATATGGACGGCCAGAAAGTAATAGAATAGGTTACACAATTTATTATCTGTTCACTCTACGATTCGAGTTTAGAATTTGAGTTTTGCTACAGTAAAAAATTCTCATAAACAGTCACATCTAACTTTTTTACTACAGTAAAAAATTCTCATATAAAATCACATTTCAACTCGAATTACAAAGTCAAATCAACGAAGTAAACGGCGTTTAAACATTCTTATAGGCTATTAGTAATCATGAGAGTAGGTGGATAGACCTTCAGACAAATGTATTAAAATAGTTGAAATACAACTTAAAAAAAAAAGTAAAATCAAAACGAGTTTATTTTACTTGTCATTCCCTATGTCTTTGCTTTGAAAGAGGGATGTGCTGCCATCGCCTAAAAACAGAAGAGTTTCGTGTTAGTTTTTAATTACAAATATGGATTTAAACCACCATATTTATAAATCTTAAGAACTATCATGCCAAATTATCAAAAAAATATAAAGAGAGCGTACTTAAATCTGTAGTAGCAATAATCGACACTTCTGTAGAATTACTATAACGATTGGCGAATCGATTATTGTCTTTCCTCAGTTAAATTACTAAAGTTTCTTAATGGCTTGTTTCTCTCTATATGGAATAGATGAGAAAGCGGTCAAATGATTTGACGTATTGAGGACTATAACTTATATGTTCTTATATATTGTTCTTATAGTGTCTCATTAAACCTAGTTAGATAAGTGTTGAGTATACACTCATTAAACTCATACCCAGTATAAGTCTATGGGTTTTACTTGATTAGACCACTTATAAAAGCCTGTTATAATTAAATAGCCTAATATAGGGATAAGAAGGGAAATAGTATATTTAGTAAATTATAGCATTTTTTTTAAGATAGTAGGTTATAGTGTAATTTGATATTTTAAGTTTTAAACATTATTAAAAATCTAAAAATACCCCTAAGTCTCTTTTCCACTTCTCTCCTTCTCTTAATAGTCAATCCACCATGGCCGGCTCCGGCGACCAGCGACCAGCGACAGGCAACTAGCTCCGACGACCGGCGACAAGCCACCAGCTCCAGCGACCGGCAGTCGTCGCCGGCAAACATATCGACCACTGTTTTACAGCAACTAGTAAATACTGTATTTATCGGTAAATACCATATTTACTAGTAAATATCATATTTACCATATTTATCTACAAATTCGGTGGTTGACTATTTACCGATAAATACTATATTTACTAGTAAATACCATATTTATCACATTTATCTAAAAATCTGACGACCGGCTCTGGGAGCTGATAAATACAATATTTATTAGTAAATACCATATTTACTAGTAAATAATATATTTATCATATTTATTTGAAAATCTAGTGACCCGCACCATAAGTTTATAAATACCGTATTTACTGATGAATACTATATTTATCCAAAAATTCGACGACAAGCTCCAACGACTCATAAATGTTTCACCATTTTCTTTTCTCGGACCATTACTTGTATTACTTCAGTTGGAGTCATGAGATTTCAATTATCTTATAACCACGGACCATTACTTGTATTACTTCAGTTGGAGTCATGAGATTTCAATTATCTTATAACCATAGCAGGTGGATTCTACAAAGACCTTACTTTGGCATAACACCAGGACTGAAAAATCTTACATTATCGTCAAAAATCTTACATTATCGTCTCATCGCATTAACTACTGAGAGTCTGTTTGGTTCATAGATTAGAACCATAAGATTAGAATTATTCTTAATTTACGTGTATTTTTTGTGAGAGAAAATACTATAACGAATCATGAACCATGATTCGAATCAGAGAACGAATCCTCCAATTAAACGGGCTCTTAATTCTCTCCAATTGCTCTTTCAGCCATTTGAGAGATGTAATAGACTTCGTCCAATGTTACTGCATTTTCCTAAGTCAAATGTCAAAACACCTATGTTATTTCTTGCAACTGAATTTTGTAATTATATTTAATTTGTTGTTGACCATATAAAGTGTATTTTAATCAACCACATTTACATATGTAGCCTTCTGAATGTAATAAAATACTAACGAAACATTTTTTGAGCCGACATCACATCACTGCTTTTTCTCTGACAACATGCATTCTCTCCCTCCCTTTTCGACAAGTGTCCACCAAAATGATCTAGCAGGCAATTTACTAGGCCTGCTTTGTCGGCCTTCTTTTTGCTCTAACAATACATCTTGACTGTACATTTTCATCGGACACTTGAAATTCTGCGACCGGATTGATCAGGTAAATAGTGCTGGTTGGATTGAAGACCTTACTTATATATATAATATATATATATATATATTAAAATTAAATAACAGGTAATGATTCAACTATAATTGCTAGTACCTCTTAATATTTTGATAAAACTATTAACATCTTAAAATTTTAACACTTTGGACACATTAGATAAAGAATAATTAAGCGGCACAATTAGTTAAGAAATTATTTTTCGGGCTGTGAAAATAATATTTTAGAGGATTGCGAAAAAAAAGTTAAATAGTAACATATTTAAGGAGAAAGAAAAAATAAATTAATGAGATAATTAAGAACACATTTATTAAAAAAAAACTCAAGCAAGCAAGCAAGTGAAAAAGAGCACCTCCTCTTCTATTTATAGTATATATAAATATATATTATGACTTAGTTCATTTCATCAATTCGAATTTAAAATTTGAGTTTTATTACAGTAAAAATGTCTCAAAAACAGTTACATCTAACTTTTTTACTATTGTAAAAAATTCTCACAAAAAAACACATTTCAACTAAACTTGCCTATATATACTGTTGGGGTGAACTTCTATGCTGCATTAGGGTTAATGACCAATATGAATGTTTTTTACGTGGGAACATATGCATAAGT